AGCAGTTAACTTAGAGCCACTAGACCACTCACTCTAAGCGACCAACAACTTAGAGCGGCCATAATTCACTCAAAACAACTAGAATCCGCTTAGAGCAACTAAAAGTTTGCTTTAAGTGACCCAAGTTAAAGAACATCTCTGCACAACCGCACCTAGGCTTGCTTAAAGTGCCTTGCTTGGAGCAACTCCCATGGGTACTCTAAGCGACCAAATCCAAAAACTTGCATGACTTCGAGAAAATCTAGCAACTTAAGAACAATCTCAAATCTTCTCAACCCATACAACAATACAAGCATGCAAACTCAAAATCTCCCAACTATAATAAGATGCAACTCATCAATTGAAGAAAATGAGACATGTAACAAAAGAACACCAAATTTCCATCATCAAACCTCCCATTCTTCACCAAGAACTCCAAGGATCCACAAAATACAACACCCACCCCCAAAATCAAGCATTCCAACAAACATGCAACAAGAATCAAAATACATGCAATACCACAATCTACTAATAATCAAATTCTAACTTCCCTTACCTTTTGGAAAAACAAGTTAGCAAGAGAAGGGAAGAGAGGAAAATTCCATACAATTCTGAGAAGAAATCTCAACTCCACCAACTTTGATCAAGGTTAGCCACATGATTCAACTATATTAGGAAGAAGAAGAGAAAGATCTTTGGCAGAAGAAAAAAGAAAAGAAAAAGGTTATGATCCTTTATACTCTCTTGAGTCCTCTTAAAAGTAGGAAGTTATGATTACCCTTTTCAAAAAAATCCTTTATAAACCCTAAACCCTAAGCTTGCTAAAGTAAAATCAACTTGACTAGCATCAACTTACCACTTAACTATACACATTAGAGAAAAAAAAAAGAAAAAAAAAGTCACTAAGAAGAGTGGAATTGATTGCATGCAAATTAAATTATTACTTATGCACAGGAATTCAACAGGCAATAAATCATGACATGTCCTCTCATACGTCCTTTGTTAACATGCAGCACAACCACAGGGGCATGCTTTGGTACATTGTACATTAGACCGAGATTCTCATTGATTAAAATTAATTATCAATCATTTGCTTCTCAACATTTCTTTTTTAGTTTTATAGCCGAGGAGGAGGAGTAACAGTAGTAGTTTTGTGCTAATAGCCGAAATGGGCCTAATACTTATACAATGTTGACTATTCTCTTAAGAAATTAACATGCATTATATTTCCATTTCTTTTAGGTTTCATCACTTATTTTATATCCAGGTGGATTTGATAAAATTAACGTATAAATTAACTGAAATTTACAATTTATAAGTTAAAATTAAAAACTTAAAAATTAATTAAAAAAATTAAAATAAAAATGTTTGATAAAATTAAGGCTAAAAACCTATTTTGGTCCCTTATAATAATTGTTTGTTTCAATTTAGTCCCACTTTTATTTTTTGTTTCAATTTAGTCCCAAATAAATTAATTAGTCTCAATTTGGTCCCTAATAAATTAATTGGTTTCAATTTGGGACTTCCGTCCAAATTATTTAAACGAAGTAAACTGTGTGACCACGTGGATGCCACGTAGATGCATAGGTGGATGCCAATTTTTTTAAAACACCTAGAACCAGAACGGCCCGTTCTAAAACCAGAACGGGCCGTTCTGGTTACACTTTTGGTGTGTTAATTTTGCATCCGGAACGGCCTGTTCTAGGTGCAAAATTTACACACTAAAAGTGCAACCAGAACGGGACGTTCTGGTTTCAAAACGGGACGTTCTAGTTCCAGACTGCTCATCAAAAACGATCAATGATTATAGTTCACGGTTGTGAATCATGGAAGGAAAAAGACCCAAGGTACAAAGCATTTCAAACACTGAATTTGGTAATATTGTCAATGGAAATTGATTTCAATTGCTAAACAGTTAGACTATACAATGTATTATTAAGGAAAATGCAATGTATCACTAAAGACAATCGTAGCAGATTTTATTTCATTTCAAACTGGAGTGAACCACTTACTACCAAATTGACACTATACAGTAAAAGATGAAATGACATAGTATTTTTTCTTGAAGTCATTAACGATGTACCCCAACAACAACAACCTGTTCTTGAAGAGGTAGAACCTGGGGTAAAGGAAGAGGATACACAGGACTAACATTTCACCACAACCATATGCAGGGACAGATCTAAGTTAATCATAGTGGGGGCATTTGCCTCCACTAAAATTTTTTTCATTCTTTTTTTTATATATAAAATATTAATAATTTTATAAAATATATATTATTAATTATATTTTAATTATGTTGTTATATCTAATATAATAAATATATTAATTTTTTTTATTTTTTATTTTATTATTTAATTATTTTTTATTTTGTGGTAAAATTATCTTCATTTTTAATGAAGAAAATATTTACTTACTTCAAGAGTAAGTCTTGATAGATTTATTCTATTTAATAATTAATGTTCTATATCAAAATTTTAA